AATAAAGTGCTTTTGCTTTCGCCTAGAAACACACAGCGTCTCCCTGACATGCTGCTTCAACACTAACTGCGGTTACTGAAACCACGCCGCCTTTCTTTGCGTGCACATTTGGGCAGCATTATGCAAATATTCCCACATAGTGAGGTAGATATGTGGGGGCGTGTTAGAACGAGCTGTTTTAGGGGGGCGGGGCAGAGGCTTAACTTTGATAAAGAATATCTCTTTGGGCTTTGAGACTTTAGTTTTTGCAACTTCAGGGATCTTATCTATGCACAATCAGCTTGTAACACTCCAAAGAGAAAGGAAAACTTGAAATAGCATCATATGACCCCTTTAAGCAAAGGAATGTATATTTATTTATCGACCACCCTGCTTTCTAAGATATCGGCATCGCTGTCAAAAAAACAATATTGGTCAACCACTAAAGTAAATGGTGACGTGTTTTAGACTGTTTTCAACTTGTGTGCAGTCTCAGTTATCTTGTCATAGAGAGAGAAGTGTTAATGTAATGGAATTAGTTTAAGCAGCGGACACCATTTATTGTTGTAAATTGAATTGCGATGGCAGAAACCCCAGAGACTTTTGTCATAGGCAAGACGCTGTCAGCAAGCAGGCTGCCCTACAAAGAGCAGGCCTAATTTACCCTTTTTACTCGTCTAACAGATCCCATTTATCACTTTAACACACGCTCTCTCTCACTGTATTTTAATAGTGTTGAATCGTTTTGTCTCGTGGAATCCCTGTGTGGGCTTGGGTTTTGTGTCGCCACGTATGATAATTTGACACAGTTCCTTAAATTATTGTAAAATTGTCCCAGAACATTTCAAGCCATAAGTGGGATGATAATGGATCAGTTCAATTCTAATGCTGTGTAAATGGACTCAGAATGATCTCAGGTCATTCTAAACCTGTATGAATACATTTCTTTTTTGTTGAAAGCGAAATTTTGTTGTGCAATATTCCAAGTTTATTTATATATGTTTATTTATATATATATATATATATATATATATATATATATGTATATATATATATATATATATATATATATATTTTTATATTCAGGTCATTCTAAACCTGTATGAATACATTTCTTTTTTGTTGAAAGCGAAATTTTGTTGTGCAATATTCCAAGTTTATTTATATATGTTTATTTATATATATATATATATATATATATATATATATATATATATTGTTCTATACATGTTCTCCACACATGGTTCGGCACGCGCTAGGACCAACTTAAATCTGACAACGCATCTGTAATGTGGTTTGCTATAAATAACACAAAAATATGTTTCTGTTGATGACTGCGTCACAGCGCATATCAAAAGCTCCCGTATCGGTTCTGTTTTCAGTACTGGAGAATAAAAGATACATTCTTAGATGTTTTTGTTAGTACGT